GCCATCAGTATTTACTATAGATTTGTTAAAGTAGAGTATATTTTGAGGGTAGTAAAAATATACCATGGTAAAAGACATTTTTCTTTGAGTGTTACCTTGTTAGGAAAGGTATTTAAGGATGTCTTGTAAGTAAAACATTTCAATAATGTCCTTTACAGATTAAGATTTTACAAAGAAGTCTTTATAGCTATTCACAGTATTTCTATGTACTTTGCTTGGTTTTACCCAAATATGCCCTTCGCAAATTACTTCATGTTTTTATATTGTAGTGTTGCGATTTTTTAGAACTTTGACATTTCCAAGATATGTATTAGAATATTTGTCTCCTTTTGATTACCATTTTCTATACCTCTGTATTCAGCCCATGAATAATTTTAATAGATTTCCTCAAAACAAAAATGTAACCCTTGCTAATTGAAGATTTTTTTTTTTCTTTTTAGAGAATGGTCTACAGGTGTTCAGAGTCTCATTACTAGATTGGACTTATAGTGATCCTCCTTTTTACAGCCTCCTAAGACCTGGGCTTACAGGTGTGACACCACGCCCAGTCTCAGTTGTCTCAGCATGCCCCAGGGGCAAGGCCAGCTCTGCAGGCTGGGGGATCGAACCTCAGGTCCCTGAGTCCGCTTGCAGGTGTTTTAATCCATTGAGCTATTTGGCCAGATGCTAATTGAAGAATTCTTAAGACAGTTTTTAATCCTAAAATCAAAAGTGATGTTTTGCAGTCTCCTTGAGAGTCCTCCACACAGACTGAGTAGGTGAAGATAGATGAGGGTGCCAAATAGCAGCAATTCCACTCACCCTGAGGAGTCAGGCTCCTGGCAGAGGTCGATGGAGAAGCAGTGACAGAGGAGCAGAGTAATGGCAGCACGTGGGTATCCCAGGAAAAGCTGGCTGAATGATTTGGTGGCACTTCATCACATAGGCAGGGACTCTCCATGGCTTGGACAGATGGGACCCACCTCACTGCTACTGCTTATGCAAAATTTCCTTGTTAGTAATGTTATGTGTGCATTACAAAGTTTAGTTTTTATTTATTTTGCAGTGATGGGTGTTGATCCCAGGGTCTTGCACATGACAAGCAGGTATTCTGCCTGCTAACTACATTCCCAACCCTGAAATTGTATTTATTTCTAATGATAAGCGTAAAGATAACTTTGACGTTTAAAACTACATGTTCACTCTCATAAAAGTTACAGATTTACTTCAAATCGAGCTGTTAGCCACATGGACTTTATTTTATCCTTAAAATGACTTCTTCAGGGAAGTGCAGCATTTGTGAGCCCAGTGGCTTAACTGGGCCCTGAGCCAGCAATAATTGGTGGGACAAAAGAGGAACCTTCACTTTTCCAGTAGTCTGCACTGTGTTCATGTAGATCTTTAAGCAACAGATAACTTAATTTGCAACTTCATTCGGAGAGCAGCTTTACACTGCTCAGTGTTTTATAGTCTCGTGGAGAATGTAAAAGTCACCTACGGTGCTTGATTCAATGGTGAAATTTGACATGCAGCCATACTATAAATTTTATATTATAAATACTACGTAAAGATTTTTACCTTTGATTGAAACTCTGCTTTTTCATTTTCATTTTTAAAAAGCTATTGTTGGTAATTGCAATAGGAATGATTTCAAGCTCTATTTTTCTTGGACTAAGTAATAATTGCACTGGAATCCAGAATAGGTAAGTAAATTTTTATCTTCTTTTGAGAAAATGTAAGTTTGTTCAACATTGTAAGCATCCACTGGAGATTTGAACTTAGGACAAGGTTGGGTAAATGTCACTATTTTATAGACGGGTTAGGGTAAGTTAGCACATCGAAAACTGAATGAAGAGTTAATTTTCTTTTTTACACATGTATGTGAATATGTAGTGCTAAAGTACATACAGCATAAGTTGTGTGCTTTTCACTATTTTTAAGTACAGGGCTTAGTGGCATCAAGTATATTTATATTATGGAACTGTCACCACTATCCAATTCTAGAACTTTGCTTCACCTTCCCTAGTAGACCCTTCGTATGCATTAAACAGTAACACCCCTTTCCACTTCTCCTGCTACCTAGCTAATGCCATTCTTTCTGTCTCTGAATTTGATTACTTGAGGGGCATCTTAATGTAGGAGCATCATAAACAATAAGTAATACAATACAATATTTGGTTTTGTTTTGTTTTTTGTGATTGGTTTATTTCCCATTATATAATGTCCTCAAGAGTCATC